GACTGGTCAGCAACATACACAAAAAAATTAGCTTAATGGCTGCGGAGGTGTTTCAAAACAAAACAAACCTGTGTTGATGTGAATGTATTTTTTTTAATTACTACTTTTCTGTAGGAAGATCTCAGAGTGATTACAGAGCATCAGGGTGGATGTTTCCCTGAGAAATGCTTTCTTAAATGTGAGAAAGACGAAAATAAAATCTGTGAACACTGTGAAAATGACAGGAGTAATTCACACTTTGAATTAACTTGGACTTCAAATGAACGTTGGCAGTCTGTTTATTAATAGAGGCCGTTTCCTCAGTGCAAGGCTCTTATGATTAATGAACGGTCTATTAACAAGAGAGGGTGAAAACAAAGCTGTTCTAATGCGGTTAAACAACACTGGCAAGAGAAACACACACACACACACACACACACACACACACACACACACACTCAACAGATCAGGTGACACCGAAGCAGACGCACAAGAAAAGATTTGAATGAACGTGGAAAATAAATTTCTTTCCATCAAATATGAAGATTCAAGATCAACCAAACAACCTGCCAGTTTTTTTTTTACACACATATAAAATCAAGACTTCAGTCCTAAAGGACAAATACACCTGGTTTCTATTTACATTTCTACCAGTTTTCACCTTTAAGGATAATTCTGGTTTGTTACTGTTTGGGTCTTTTATTTTTGTAGGTCTGTCTATCCCATATAACAACGTTGTATTTATACAATGATGGAAGTTAAGAAACACAAGCAGCACTTATATAAAAATATTTCAGGCCTATTTCACATTTGTTCACCAAGCACTCACCTGGAAATGGCCCCAGCCTCCCTGGTCCTGATTAAAAGAAACATTATTTCTCATAATCCTTACTATAATAAACAAGCAGAAATATATAATTAATTACCATAATTACCATAATTACATAAATGAAATAAAGCTCTTTTAAATCTAATACGCTGGATGACGAGAGGAAACTATTAAGCTACTCCTTTATGTATTGATTAAAAATATTATATTAAAAGGGAAATGACTTGAATCTGATTTGGAGTTGTGTCAGTTGAAGAAAGATGTCTGTCTTCTAGTCAGCTTACAACAATTCATACAGCTGTATTGATGTAATTTAACCTAATCTCTGCTGCAGCTGACCATAACATAACTGATTGGTGCGCAGAAGTACAACATCACCTCTAATCCTCGAGGCTGATGAGACCCAATCAGGGAGCGACCATGACGTCATTGTTTTTAAAAAGGTCAGTCCAGACGACAACACAACCAAAACAGGGTCTGCAGCGTTTCCAAAGGTCTCTGTTTTCGGGGCTTGAAAACTCTGGAGTCGTGTGAACGTAGTGTGGATGTAGCCTTAGAAATGAACTTTGTGAACACATTGCTCATAACGTTCACAGGAATGATTGACAAAACTACAAAAATAAGACCCAAGTTGCAATAAACTGGAATGATCCTTTAAGGCTGATGTGAGTACTGGTGAATCCTTAACACACCCTTAAGGAAACAAAGGACTGAGGTTTTCTGACAGAGAGACACAACTCAGCAGTTGAGTCCTGATCCAAACGTCCACGGTGAAGTTCAGCTAGTTCTTCCGACTCCACAGACTCGCCTTCGACCTCTCAGTCTTTATAAAATCACTGCAGAGTCCAGAGGTTCGAGGATGAGAGGGTCGACTACAGTCTTCAGGTGTGGGGATTCTTTCAATCTCATCGTCCTCCTTTTCACAGAGACAATCCACGAACACGCGGAGGTTACCACAGACGGGAAGTGAAGTGAAGCCGATGCAGCGGCAGGCTTCGCGTGAGCACATGTGCGGACGAACACAGCGAGTATAAAAAGAGGCGACTGCCGGCCGGCGGCGTTCCTTCAAACACCAGAAGGCAGCGTGTACGGGAAGGGATTTGTCTTCACCTTTGATCCTGTTTGGAAAAGTGGTTCGGTTTAAATGAAGTGCTCTGATAAAAACCCAGTCGAGAGTTTTGTTACAGACCGAAAGACTTTATACAAAGAAACCTGAACAATGAATCCATCTCTGCACATGCTCATCAAAAGGCCCCTTTTCACAACAGAGCTGATTTTAAAAAAACAACAACAAACAAACAAAAAACAGACAGTTGGTTGATTACTTTTGAAGTGAATGTCTTAAAGGGTAAGTTCTGTTTTTCAACACAGGCTGTGTTAGAGCTGCAACAATGTGTTGATAAATCAATTTATCAACAATTATTTTGATAATCGATTAATCATTTTAGTAAAAATAATTCATTTGCTGGTTCCAGGTTCTCAGATGTGACAACTTGATGTTTGTCTTTATCGTACATAATAACTGAATGTCTTTGGGTTTTGGATCTGTCAGCTGAGGCGTTGACATTTGGTCGTTTTAGCTTCTCAAAGGTGAGAATTTAATTTAATAAATTCAATATTTTTTGCTTTTGGACTGTTGATCGGACAAAATTAGGCATTTTATTTTCTAACCTGGTGCTCGCTATTTTACAATCAAAACAATTAATCGATTAATTGAGAAAATGATCAGTAATGAAAATGATCATTAGTTGCAGCCCTAGACTGTATTAAAAGGTCAGATCACTCAAATTACACAAAAAACAAACAACTTTAGCAGTGTCTAGCCACTTCAGGTTTAAACATTTGGGTTAGCTGCAGCAAAAAGAGCCAGGCTAGCTGTTTTTCAGCTGTTTCCAGTCTTTGTGCTAAGCTAAGCTAACCAGCTGGACATTTGAGAGTGGTATCCATCTTCTCATCGAACTCTCTCTGACATTCAGTGACTTTACCTTCAGACAAACCCATTTGTCAGCGAGACACATTAGATTTGATTAGATACATTAGCACCACTGGTAAATTACCAAATGCTCAGCCTCCATTATCTTCACCTACATTTCCAAAAACTATGGAGTAAATTATCAAGAGGAAAATCTAAATTACAGAAGCAGAGAAAGGCCATACTTGTGATTTTTTTTTTAAAAATCCTGTTATCTCCAGATAACAGAGCTTTGTTTTTTGTTTTGCGAGTATGGCCTTTCTCGGCTTCCATACTAAACGGTGAATTTCTCTCCTTAAACTAAATTTGGCCACTCCCCCATTGCCTATGGCTGATACAAAATGCATGCTGGGATACTTGGCTATCCCAAACCCATATATCTTATGGGGCTGTAATTGTCTAAATGTAGACTTTGAATGGGAGCAGTACTTTTGCTGTGACTAATAATGTTTCACAAGACGACACAGACCGAGAAAGTGTTAACTATGAGCAAATAAAACAAATCTGCATGGGTAGAAACTAGTGTGAAATGTGAAAACATGTTTTCTCTTTGTAAACATGATGAACTGACCCTTTAAAAGTTTGTTTCCCCATCATTTCTCATACGCAGCTTTAATAAACGTCTCTGAAACTTGAGTATTTGGTTAATTTTGGGCGACCAGACGCACAGATATCAGCATTTATTCACTGTGGGACAGTTAAAGGACAATTCCACACTTTCATGAGCTCATGGTTGTTACGTTCAAGATGAATGAGTGTTAAAAATAATAATGAACAAGCAGGAACAAATAGATTTTTACAGCTTCGATGAGACTTTGGTGTCTGGTTTTCTGTTCCCTAAGATCAGTCTACACAAATCACATGACAGCCACTTGTACATTCAGAGGTATTTCATTTTAATAGCTTCAGATATATCAGAGGCCATGTTCTAAGAGGAAGCCATAGACTGCAACAGTACCAGCTGAGGCATTTTTACTGAAGTGATGAACAGAACAGCTTCAGTCTTTGTGTGACGCAGGATTTGACCCAGAGGCTTCAGTTACTCTTGTTGTTTCAGTGACTTCAGATCAGATCTGGATGCACAAAAACTTTAGACTTTTTTGTCTTAAATTGTTGCCACCAAACATTAGAGGTGATCAATCGACAGGACAGATGTAAACCTGCCCTGTCTGTGAATTGTTCAATCAACATCTGGAGGAGGAAGAGGAGCGAATAAAATCGTGAAGAGGAATAAACACTGTCTGTCATAAGTTAAAATTTGAAGTCTTGTTTACTTATTTTCTAATCAGATATTGATTGATTTGAAGTTTGGTCATTTTATTAGGGAAACTTCTTGTACTGATACACCTTCAGGTGGTTGTAGCTCAGTTTATATTAAGGGTTGGGTTAGAAAGTCACTTTTTGTCTGTAAAATATGTTTTTTTTGCTGATGATACCATGTTTTATCTATAAAAAATAACGTTGGCAAAGTAAGGTGAGAAAAGGTTATTGTTTTCTCCTTTAGCAACATTTTTTTTTTCATCTGTTCTTAAAGCCAAAACAGATAATTTTCATCATCAAAAGACAGACAGCTGGTCTTTGAACTGGGCCAGTTGAGTGCCATTACGCAGTGGTCTCATTTATCAATGAATTTAATGTATCTACTCATGATGTAGTTATTCTTATGATGGACAACATACCACATATGAGAACACAACATGATTTCAGGCAGAGCATTGAAGCTGATTCATTCATTGGCTGACTAGCAACATCCAATAGGACGATTGTAATGTGACTCTCTGTTGTTACTATTGATTTAACCAGGATTTAATGTTCATGTGTTTGTTGGAGGAGGATGATTTCTCCTTGTTGCTGCTTAGATCCACTGAATGTAACTGATATGTTTTATTTAAAGCGTCTTAGCCTGAAATAATTTTGATGCTTGGACACTGGTTTTTAAGTCAGTGCACAGCACGTCAGATGAAAATGTAAAGATTCAAATCATATTATTTAATATATATGAGAAAAAAAAAGTTTCCAACAATAAAGAAACCATTAACAGATATTTACTTGGGGTTAAATAGAGCAGTTATTTCAGTACAAGTCATCATGTAAACTTTACACAACTAAAACCAAAACTGTACTGTTTGCAGAAAAGATTTAATTATAAAATGTTTTTACATAATAAATGTTTTTATGAAAACATTAAAAGTGTAGTGACATGATCTTTAAAAACATTAAAGTGTTTAAAACCTCCTTTCATTGTTTTTTTTTTCTCATATTCTATCTGTGATAAGCCAATGATAGGAACTTGTTGAATCGACAAGTGATCTCTGCACATTCAACAAAAAAGAAAACTGAGCTTCTTCTGCTTTCAGTTCAATGTTTGATCGTTATAATTAAAATAAAAAGTGCTCTGAGAAAAGTGGGCCATGATTTGGAAAAAGAGCATTGTGTGTCTTCTCGATAATACGTGCCAAATTACTTTTTTTCCTAAAAAAAAAAAAAGTAAATAAAATAATAATAATAATAATAATAATAAAGTGTTAATATAATTTCAAATACTGCCTTTTTTAAAAAAAAATTTTATTTGAGTTAAACCTCTGCTGTTAGCATCTTTTGTGAAAATGGGGGCAGCTCCAAAATATAACTTTAGGGAAAAAAGTGAAGGTGTAATTTAACTTCACAACATCTGTCACATCTTGAATTGACAAGAGCAACTGAAGCCACTGACACAGCAAGTCGATTGTCTCCATCACGGAAAAGAAAAATACAAATAATATTGTTATAAAAATATCTGCAGATGTAGACGTCACGGCTCTGACATCAAGCGAACGAAAACCTGGAGTTAAATAGAAGAGAAACGCAGCAGTGAGGTCGGTCTCAGCAGAATGGAGGGCAGAGGAAGTAAAGTGGTCATAGTTCAGTAGCTGAATGTCACTAAGTCGATTCCCTGGACAAAGTGGGGCAATGTAACGAGATCGAGGAATGCTCAGTCCTCCCTTGGTAACCACTGTGTCACGGTGCCCTCGAGCAAGGCACTTACAGCAGGCGATAGTTCCAGCGGAGCAGCGGCAGCAGCAGCAGCAGCAGCGGCTCCCAGTTCTTTAAGATTAAGATTTACATGGAAATGTAGAAGTGGACGAGTGTGAAAGCAAAGAGCTTTCCCAGTACACAAAATAAAGAAACTAAAAACAACAACAAAAACAAAAAGTTCATCTTCTGTCTTCGTCCCCGTCTCCTGGTTCGTCCACAACCGATATTCACACCTTTTTAAATAACATTAAACTTTATGGCTATGCTGAAAATATACATTCTGACATTTAGAGAGAGAGTACTGTCTCAAAAATACAAATGTGCAAAAGTTGTAAACAAATGAGATCCTGTGTGTGTGTGTGTGTGTGTGTGTGTGTGTGTGTGTGTGTGTGTGTGTGTGTGTGTGTGTGTGTGTGTGTGTGTCACAGCCTGGTGGGCTCCTCGTCACTGTCACTGCAGTTTCCACAGCAGTCCTGCACACGGAGACAGAAGAGCACAGACTTTCAGCTTCTGTGTTTCATGATTTAAATCATCCGGTTCTCTCTTTCTCTACGTAAAAACCAACTCACTACAACTATAACTGTGAGTTATAAGAATCATATTTAAGTATTATCAGTAACATCTTCTGGTTCTGCAGTAAAATATTCTATAAAACATTATTAGTTACTGAGTGATCGATGCTCCAGCGGCATTTCACTGTTGTAGCTGCTTTTAACTTCTTTATATACAGTTAGATAGTTTAGGCCTGTGGTTCCCAACCTAGGGGTCGGGCCCCTCAAAAGGGTCACCAGATAAGTCTGAGAAGTTTTGAGTAATGGGTAAAAAGTGTATTGTGAGGTCACCGTGACCTTTGACCTTTAGCCACTAAAATCTAAATCAGTTCATCCTTGAGTGCAGGTGGATGTTTGCACCAAATTTGAAGGGATTCCCTTTAAAGGCGTTACGGAGATATCGTAATAAAACACATAAAGTTTGTATTAATTTTAATAAAGTAACAAAAGAAACTTAGTAGGTTTAACGATGATATAATAGATACGTTTGTTAAACTAAATAAAAGTGTTTGTGATGCTGTTTTAAACAATTATAAGAAGCATTAACAGTCTTCAGCATGATATGAGCTGATGAATGTCTAATAATATAATGCTGTTATTAACACTTATGTCGCCTCATTAGATACCATTTATAAACTCCTTATTACCTATTAACTGACGATTATCACAAGGACCTGAAAATAAAGTGTTACCGATTTTTCTTAAATAGATTCTTACATTACATCTGCTAAAATTCAGACTCTTGATATGATGCTGGATTGTAAAAAGGATGATGATGATGATGATGATGATGATGATGAGAGAGTGCACCCACCTGTCGGCCAAACAGCCGCTGCAGGAGTCCCTGTTTGGGGGGAGGGGACGGCTGTCCTCTCCAGTCCAGGTCTGGAGGAACCGTCCCGTCCTGGTAGAAAACATTCAGCTCTGTGAAACACTCGGTCTCGATCATCTGCGGGAGAGAAGACGAATTCGTTAAATCTGTGACCACACTGGAGCTCCTTTAATCACGTCCTGTCGTCGCTCTTCTTCTGCAGTGATTTAACGTAACTCTAGTGATCGGAAACTCAATTTTCTGGTCATTTGTGCGCACTGACGTGATTATACAAACAAAGACTCGTTCTCCCGGCTTGTAAATACTTTGTAGGCTGTTATCAGATCAAGTTTTTTTTTTATGGTGCAAGGAAAAAAAAAATTCCCATAAATGGCATGATTGTTGTTTATTAACTTGGTCATGGTGGAACAAGTAGAATAAATAGAACTTACAGTGTGTGTGTGTGTGTGTGTGTGTGTGTGTGTGTGTGTGTGTGTGTGACCACGTCTCTCACCTCATTTTGCCAGGGAATAGAAACGCTGCCCGTGGACACTTTGCTGTAGAACGACTCGTCTTTTGGCTCCAGCTCGACGCCCTTCACCGTGGAGAACTGCTCGATGTCCAGCACGTCTTTACAGTAGATGGCCTGCGGCTGCAGAACACAATCATTTAGGTGTTACTTACAGTTTCACCTGTGCTATTATTAAAGCTTCTAGTTCTACCTGTGATACACCTGGAGCACCGGTGACGTCATCAGCTACACCTGAGCTCGGTCACGTATTTACTGAGATTACGTTCTGCAGACTTACGTCGGGGGTGAAGGGCACCTGCAGCATGCCGGCCTCCAGCCGTTTGAAGTTGATGGAGCGGAAGATGGGATGGCCTTTGACCTCAGAGGCTCCGCCCCCCTGGCAGCCCAGCCTCTCCGTGGGATCTTTGGCCAGCAGCTGGCAGGTTCAGAGAAGAAGAAGAAGAAGAAGAAGAAGAAGAAAAACAACATCGTTAAAACACCAGAGTAGAGTGAAAGCTTGAGGAGGAGGAGCTTCTGCTGTGGGTCATAGATATTAGTCTATGAAATGAATTTCCAAGATGGAGAAGAATCTGATGAGGAGCTGAGAAACGCCGCTCGTGCATCCACCCACCATTTTGCAGAGGGACGTGGCGTCCTCGGAGAACTTGCTGGAATACTCCTCCTCCACCTCCCTCACCAGCCGCTCCACCTCCTCCCTCTTGATCTTCTTCTTCCTCTGCTGGAAGGGCGACTGGCCTTCGATCATCTCGTACAGCAGGCAGCCCAGCGCCCACCAGTCGGGGCTGAAGGTGTAGCGTTCGTTCTTCACCACCTCCGGAGCTGGGAAGGAGACGGAGGCGAGGGTTTTTGTTTGAACAGAAGATGATTGTAAAAAACGTTTAAAACCACAGCGACAGAGTGCGACTGACTGTGTCCCAATTCAGTGGCCGTAAACCTTCGAAGGCGGCGCGACTAGATTGTCCCGTTTCCCCTATCCCAAGATTCATTGCGCTCCAGTAATGAAAATAACATGGCAGGTAACAGTGCAGGTGGTGACGCAAAGCAGGAAAATCCCACGTAGAACCAGACCGTCTTCTTTCGGTCCGGCCTTCGCGGTCTACGAACTGCCACACCTCACGCAGACCGCCTCCTCCGAAAGATGCAACCCCCTGAATTGGGACACAGCTACTGTTTTTCAGTTCTTACTGGTCGGTCAGTAAAGGTCAGAGGTCACTTACCCATGTATCCTACTGTTCCCACCCGTCCCTTGATGCTCTGCCCCTCAGGCACATGAACCGCCAGACCCAGATCCGATATCCTGATGTGGCCTAAACACTCAAACACATTATGAGAGGAAATCTCATAAGATGAAATGAAATCCAAGAAATATCTGAGATTCTTTCATGAGATTCAGGCTGCAGTAAAAAGTCATTTTAAAGTTTTAAATGAGAAGATATTTTCTGATACTGAAGAAAAAATATAAACGTTCTTCATTTTCACTTGAATAAATATCGTAAAAGTTCATTTTCTTTTGTGTTTTTGAACCTGTTTTGAGTGATGACTGTAGTTTATATGATATTAACAATAGTAAACACTGATGTTCTTATATATAAAGCATTTCAAAAACAAACAGGTCTGAGTAGAGGTGAACAACAAATCATTAGCTGTTGATTCTTCTGATAATTTGCTCATTAAAATTAAGAAAAATTACTTTATTTTGAAAGTCATGAGTTTTCTTTTCCTGTGTTTTATCTGCTCTTAAAGCACTTTGTCACCTTATTTTGAAAAGTTCTATATTGATTAAAGGTGTTTGTAGTTATTTTGGGTTATTAGCAAACAAATCACAAAAGAAAGTCGTCTTTATTTTCTACTTTTTGTTGGATTAAAAGCAACAAACAACGCACCATCACCAGGTTCCTTTATATTTCACTTAAAGTTAAAAACCGTCATATAAACTGCAGCGAACGCGGTGGATGGTGAATGTGATGTGATCACAGACGTGTCTAAACTCCTGCAGAAGCCTCCAGGTTAAAGTTAAAACCACTTCCATCAAGTTTTCTGTGTTTTTCTTTTGATCCGATCGAACCAGGAGATGAGTTTAAAACACAGACACGTTACTGGATCTGGATCTTTACTATGATTAGTCGCAGTCTGAATATTTGTACTTTAAGAGCTCTTCACATTGTTTAACCACCAACAATCTTTTTGGGATTGTGCTTGTTTTATTAATGAGGTGTGTTTGCTGTGTGTGATTAAACTCGGATCAGACTGTTCTGCTGCAGTCAGAGTCAGAGCGCCCTCTGGTGACAGAAGGAAACCATCATCACCAGATTTCCAGCCTGAAGCAGTGACATCCAGTTCTACAGGATGAATAACAGTTTTCTAATCTTTAATAAATGTTGATCTTGTGCCCGCAGTGTTTTTCAGACAGACGCCGGATGACATATCCTCTGAAGGTACAGTGAGTCATCTGAGCCACAGAAATAATCACAGACTTTTCACTGACTAATTATTAACGCAGAGCTACATTTAATTATGTATTCATCAATTCATTAAATTTGTTACAAAATAATATAATATTATGTTTGATAATTGTATCATTTCAGGAATATTTTTGAAATTTGAATTTTAAGTGCAGAATTACTTTAAACGCTGAGTCTATTTTTGATGTGAGAAACAGCAGGAACACTGCACCTGTCTTTCCAGAGCATTAATGCGACTCACCGTGGTCGTCCAGCAGGATGTTCTCTGGTTTGAGGTCCCTGCGTGACGGAGGAGGAGAGGGAGAGTGAGAAAACAGAGCGAAGAGGACAGGAAGAAGAACATGTCCGTCTTTGAGGTTTACACGCTGACCTGTAGACGATACGTTCCCGGTGCAGGTCCTCCAGCCCACAGCAGATCTCCGCCGAGTAGAAGACGGCCCTCCTCTCGTCGAAACCCGCCTCGCCCATGTGGTAGATGTGAAACTTCAGGTCTCCTCCGTTCATGAGGGTGAGCACCAGGCACAGGGCGTCCTTCGTCTCGTAGGCGTACGCTAAACTCACCTGCAGACAGAGGAGGAGTCTGTGCTTCAGGTGTGGACAACTTCCTCTGGAAACAACATCTGACGTGTGAAGATGTCGCCTCACGCTCGGGAAGACGCGACGGACATTTTTATCATTTTAATAATTATTAAAAAACAGAAGGTGAGAGGGCGGATTTTTCCTTTAATCTGAGATGATTTCAGTAAGTTGAAGACAGCACGTCCCCGCAGCTAAAAAAAAAAAAATCTCTGCCTGCTGCCAAAACCTCTTTAAAATGACTTTCTGTTAATAAAGTCGTCCAGTTGTGTATTTTCACAATCGAAGCAGCGCTGAACCCTCCGGGACTCCTCAGGCCTGGGAGCCCCGGACAAACCGACTCACTGCCGTCCAAATCAAACAAGCTGAGCGCAGGTCATCTGGCACAGAATCAAACCAAACCAGAGACAGAACAAACCACAGTGTTGTCTTTTAATTACTGCAGTTGTCAATGTTGCAGACATCATGTCCGACTGACGCACACAGAGAACAAACCCGGGAGGAAATACGTGAAGTGCTTCGTGATTTAAATGTTTACTTTTGGAAGAAAGAAAAAGGAACTGTTTTTTTTTACCATAATCCTCTGAGTGCTTTTAAAAAAATGAAACTATTTATTTGTGAGCTGTTGTTTTAGAGATTCACATTTTCAGGAGGAACCAATGAGCTGAGAGTCGCAGACAGAGTGGGGGAAGTGTTAGAGTGATGGACATCGTTGGTTTTTGGTCTTTTCACGGTTTGTTTGTTGAGGAGGAAATAAACAGAATGAAGTCGGATCTATAATCTTCCTCTCTGACGTGAACTTTCTCATCAGCTGAAGTTTGAATAAATTCTTTCAGACGAGATAGAAAAAGAAGATGTAACTGCTCACACCTGAGGCAGGTGAGTCTCAAAGATGAAAGATGAGGCAGAAAAAGACCAGTGTTCTCTGTATCTGTAGTAAAGATGCAAATACTAGTATATGACTGGGGCCACGTATTTGCATTCTGCTCTTTATCTGTTTGCTTCCCTCCTTCTCTGTGCTCACATATACAGTATTTTAACACAACTGAATTCACAACAAAGCTCTTCTCATTTACATGTTTTCACGTTTCTGTTGTCACGACAATGGGACAAGTCAAATAAAGAGAGTGAAACGTGGCCCATTAAGACGACATCTTAACTTCCAAGTCGCTTCCAAGCTGCTGCTATAATCCTGATAAAGTTAAAGACGAAGACTGAGCTGTGATTTACTTATAAAATGATCATGAACATATATAACTTGTAAATTTAGGAAATAGGTTTCCCTTTGCATTAGCTTATTGATAATGAACCTCTGACTCCACATCGCCCCCGTCCTCGCGAGTGTTTCGTGGTTGTTTTATAACAGTCGGCAGCCGGAAGTAAAAGCAAACAAAACATTTCTAATTGTTAAAAATCGTCAGTGGACAGACTTACTACAAATCTACTGTTGACTTTCTCCAGGATCTGTTTCTCATTGAGCGCCATGGACTCTCCTTTCCTCTTCTTTATCCTCTTCTTCTCCAGCTTCTTACAGGCGTACATCTTCCCTGTGGCCCGTACCTGACACGCACACACCTGCAGGGTAGAAGAAGAGGAGGAGGAGGAAGAGGAGGAAGAGGAAGAGAAAACCAAGATGCAGGAGGAGAGAGAGAGAAATTAGTTCATGAAAAGGGAATTTTATTTCCTTTTATAAATGTAAGAAACGGCACTAATAAAAGATACAATACGCTCTCTTAACGAAACAGAGAGCGTTTCATCGCGGTTACACATGTGACTTCACAGCATCAGGAAGACAAACAAAACCATGATTGTAAATGATTTAATGATAAGGCGACAGACTGCAGACATAAAAATAAAAAAATCCCCTCATTATTTTATACTGTTGTATAATCAGACTGTTGAAAATGAGCCGTTCCGCTCTGTGAACTGAAGCTCGCAAGATGTAAAGGGAGGGAGGGTGATGACGATGAAGAATGTGAGAGAAACACGTGAGTCCGACTCAGACGGCGACTTTAAACTACAGTCCAGCTGAACTCACCTGACGCTCCATCACTGGTTTAAAGAAATATTCTGGGACTGATCCTGGACTAATCCTAAAACTGATCCTGGACTGATCCTGGACTGATCCTAAAACTGATCCTGGACTAATCTTTTGACTAATCCTGGACTAATCCTGACTTTATAATCTTTATCTTACATCTAATTACATCATCCACTATTCGTTTGCATTACAGTGATCAGTTATTACGTCATTTAATAAAATCAATTGCTTAAATTAAGTTTCTAATAACCAGTTTTTAGTTACACATGAGCCTATTTTTCGTCACCTTAACTTTGCATGTATGTGGCTCTTGTAAATCCTGAATCACACACAGTGATCGGCCTCTGTCAACACGTCTCCACCTGACTGAAATACAATCACCTCACGTCAGAACGAAGCCACAGCGTTAACGCTTCAACATACAAGTGTACACACAAGCATGAGTCAGCCAACGTGATCCATACGATCAAAGAGACAGGAACCTCATGTCGTCCATTATCTCGTGACCCGATTGCTCGTCCATTAGGTCAGTTATCACCATGAGATCAGGACAGAATCAAGACTCTTCCCATCAGACGGACATGTAACACAGAGACACCATTCAGTGGCGTGTAATGGGATTTAGACACCACGGATGATGGAGCCAAGGACGAGATTCAGTTAGAGCTCTTTGCATAACACTGTTGTTTTTTTTTGTCTTTCTTTGAACCAGAATAAAACAGAAGCAATTTTAAAAAATAAAATAAAATGTAAATGTGTCATTTCTCTGCCAGGCGTGATGCGCTATACATCCAGCTGTACTTATACTCTCTCCTTCTATTTAAAGGTCAGGATTCGAAGGACTTAAAAGGACTTAATGAATCTAATTTGAACAAAATGGAGGAACGATGCAACTGGTTACTGACTGGTGCGGCGGGCGCCTGCGGCATTAACTGAGGATGAAAGGTTCATTTATTTTCTTTCAAAAGTGTAACGTAAAAAACTGACAACAGGAGGTCGAAATGAAGTGTTTCAAGACTCTTCTTCTTCTGTTTGATTGTAAAGATTCATCCGACTCATGCTGGACGGGTTTCATCCCCACATCATAACCTTTCGGTCCCCTCGTTCGACAGCTCGCGTTTTCCCCTTTGACTGTTCACTTCAAAACATTTACTACAGGTAAGGATCCCATTAAATATGACACCATAAATAAAACTGTCTGCACGTGTGATCTGAAAAGTTCAGGGGCAGAGAAATGAAATCTAATAACAAACCAGAGGAATAACATGAAAAATGTGATTTAGCCTCTTTGACCAAAGTTATTCAACCGTAAACAAAGACAGCTGCTGTTTATCGTCTGTGGTTAAACTGTCAATAAGATCTATTAGTATTAGTTAGTGTTAACCTTAACCCTCTGCACACATTAAATTAAGTGTTACGAATCTTAAATCAATCATAATGCTAAAAAACAACCGGCCTGTGGTTGAAGCTAACCGCTGACCTCTGTCCTACAGTTTTGACTAAATGTTCAACAAGAAATGAAGCTGATCTGGATTTAGACATAACGTGATCATTTAATTTATCTGTTAAGTAACGAGTTCTAATTTAGAAGAAAGAAACTGTTTACTGAAATGAAAATAAAGTAATAAAATTAAATGTACTCACCTCTCCGAAGCCTCCTTTCCCTAAAACTCTGTACTGTCGGAATGTGTTTTTCGTCACCGGTTGCCTGTTGGACGAAACCATTAACTATTAATAAACCTGGTCAATAAGACGGGTTCATGTGTGCAACAGCAACAACTCTTTGTGTGACTGTTGCCATGAGAACCTTGCGTTTCAACAGAGACACTGACGAGGACCACAGACTGAGCTGGTAACCAACACCAGCACCAGTGAACCGGTCCCTCCTGGTGTCAGCACTCATCTCCCTTCGGACGGTTTTGGTCAATCGGGCGTGTGAACTGAACGGACCCTGGGGCACGGACTCATTAAACCAGACTGTGTCATTTGCTGCTTAATAAGCCCAGTGATGGTGCTGCTCCTGCTTGTTTTTATAACACAGTGTTTTCCCATGAATTAGTATTAGCTTGTGTTTGGCTGCGTTGAGCCCTGTAATCACCAAGAGGGCTGACATCCTCAGAGGTCAACAAATACTGTGATGTTGGAAGGCCGAACGCTCTTGAAGCGAATAAGAAAACTGAGAAAACATGGTTTTATTATTCCAATACTTGGTTCTATTGATGCATTTTGATGGTTAAAAGTACCGAGGTTCAATTCCCAGCTGTTCACTTGCTTTCTTTTTTTTTTTTTTTAGCTAAGTTGTGTTTACTCATCTCTAATCTAACCCTGGAGTCGCAGTGAGCACTGAGATTGTACTGAATAGACCATCCATTTCACAGATGTATGACGTTGAAGAAAGTTAATGTGAAACTGTGTTTGGCACAGTAACGATAGCCATCAAGAAACAGACCGTTGTTTCTCCATGGAAAATGAAACTATTGGCCCAACATTCGCCACGGTGCTCGGCCCAAGTCTGGCCCATATACTTCCACATTTGCGCAGATCCTGGCTGTTAATTGGCTGGGAGCCAGATGACTTTCTGTGTGTGCGCCAGAACTGGTCCAGATGTGGAGGTCGCATCTGATAATACTGCTGTATATGGACCAGATTCGGGTCGTACACTGGGCCAGAACAAAGACGCACGCAGCCCAAGTATGGGCCGGATTTATTTTGCCATCTGAAACCATGAAGTTAGAAGGATAAGACAGTGAAAATGTCTTGTTTGACTGCTGTCACATCCATGGATGAGTCTCTAGGTCCCGTCCTCTGGATGTTCCCCTGTATGTTCAGCCTTGTTCCCTGAGTCATTCGTCTGTGGGTAGTCGCAGTCTCTGAGTAATGTAGCTGTTTTCAGTTCCTCTCTGCAAGAAGCTTTCAGTAAAGACCTGACTAGTACTAACTATCCCTGCATCTTGTTTTCATTCTCTTCTCACATCATCACGAGTTTTCTAATGAAGGTTTATTCATGTTTTCGTAAATGATAAAAAAAAAAAAGGAACCACATCCTTCCGGCTCCAGCACTAAGCAGCATTAACAATCTCCTCTAGTCAGGGCGATTTATCCAATAATGTTAACAGAGCAACACGACCATAACATAGTTGTACTTGGTGACTCTGAGGTACCATTTGACAGTCAAGTGACTAAAGTTGGACAATCCGTCTTTGTCCAACTGAGATATTTCACCAAGATTATGTTACTCCGTCCTCTGAAGACGTAAAAAAGGTCATCCAAGCTTTTAACGCCTCCAGACTGGACTGCTTCAACTGCGACGCCCTTTATTCTGGTTTCAGCAGGCGAAACATCCAAAGACTACGGAGGAGAAGTGACCACGTCCCTCCGACCCTCACTGCCCTTCAGTGGTTACCTGTGAGTTCTGAATTGATTAATTGATTGATTTTTAATGCTCGTTTTCTTTTTTTTTTTTTTGTAAAGCGGTGTGGTTTGACTCCTGCTTATACAGCATCTGAGATCTGCTAACTCCCTACGAACCTGAGGTCCTCCAACAGGGCGCTACTAACCGGTCCAAAGTCTCCACTTCTTACTAAAGTGACCGGCCCCTTTGCTTTTTCCGATCAAATGATCAAATGCAGTATCTCCTTTTAAATCTATTTTATCGTTTTGTAATTTGTTTTTACTTCCACCAAGGAGGTTTTATGTTTTCACCTAGATATTGGTTTGTCAGCAGGATTACACAGAAACTGCTGAACCAATTTGCACCAAACATGGTGGAGGGATCGGGAATGGCTTATTGACGAATCCATTCTATTTTGGTGCCGATCTGAATTTTCTATGACTTTCCTTGGCATTGCAAGAACTTTTTTTTTTTTTTTTACATTTTCATCAATTTCTTGGGAAAATAATCCTGATGTTAAAAAAACAAAACAAAAACAACATCAAGCTTCTTTTCTAGAGAATGACTGGAGTCAAAATAATGACCTGGTATTTTGAGGAATACTGGCATCGGGAGCCTAAACAGACACACACCCATTAATTAGAATCTACTCCCTCTCTGTGAAAAGGCAGTTGGCCTCAGACCAGAGGCAGGATGGGACATGTTTGTTTCATGTTTTATGATGTTCTGCTCAGACCAAACGGCAGGGAGACACTGGCCCAGATTTACACTTTAAGCTATTTTAAAGTGTTGCATGTCAGGATAATTTATTAGACTTATAACTGTGTCAGTCAACAAGTTTGATTCACTGAGGTTGAGGTTTCTCAGCTACGAGAAAATCAGGGTTGTTTTTACTCCAGGGGGAGGTGCTAACACACCTGAAGTTGTTTGGTAACTGCCATAAAATGCAAAAAGAAGAAGAATGAAAAAGAGAACTTATGTATAAAGGTCTGTGTCCATGTGTAGTGTGATTATAGATCAGGTATTTGTTCTATATTAATACTGTGAAAGTATCAAAGCCTCAGTCCACAGAGAAATGCACACAGCCTGTATTCAGAAACTGAGCCTTAAAACCAGCCGTCAGGACTTCTGGAACTTTGTGATGTCACAACAAAGCAGACACGGCTCACTCACTAGAGCTCCAGAGAGAAGCCCGAGAGAGGAGATGTAAAACTACATTAAGATTAAGAAGTTTTTGGTTTTTAAAACCACAAATATATCTTCTTATGGATCGACACTTCAAAATAAAACTAAGAGTAATAGAAAGTGCTCATTATGCAGAATGCCCCCTGACAGAATCAAATAAATGATACCGTTGGAGTCAAGCTATGAATGAATTGCTGGATTCTGCTTAATTCATAATTATAAATCAGAATTAATCAGTTTATTATATTCTGTATTGATCATTTGAATCAGCAAAGTAGCTAGAGACTGTAGCTGTCAGATAAATGTAGTGGAGCAAGTATAAAGTGGCAGAGAGGAGCTGTTGTTTCTGTTGTTGTTCTTGTTTGTTTGTTTGTTTCTGATTCCTCTGTGACCACATGTCTTGTCTTCTTCTTTGTTCCTCCCTCCCAGCAGCTGGAGGGTAACACAGGTTCCTAAGCCTTCTCTCTCTCTCTCTCTCTCTCACTGCTGCAAGAAAACCTTTTAACTCCGGTTACGGTGGTTGGTGGTAGTTTTCACCGCACTTGAATAATTGTCCTCTGTTGGTGAAAACGTTTTTAAACCCGACTGGATGAACTGCGAAACTGCGCGGTTCCTTGGAAGCTGACTCACTGGCTTCTTCCTTCTGCCGTCACTCCGTCTCATGTTCCTCTGTCATCACATCCTGGATTCATGGAGTCGACTTGTGTATTTGCGTCACTACAGAGGGATTCCTCGGGGCTTGATTGTCTCAGCTGATCCTTGAAGTTTAACCATAAAGCCTGAACAAGCCACTCCACGATGTAGACTTTGCTTACAGCATCACTGAGGTGGAGTCTGGGAAACCATCAGAGTCGTCCAGACAAACTTCATCTGTCTGTAAACAAAACCTGATGAAGCTCATTAAGACGATGTTAACACTTCAAACCTGCTGCCTCCTGGGAATTTTCACCAGAATCTGCTCCTCACTTCTAAGGAACCTACTTTCCGGAACTCCGGGACATTTTTTACAACAACAATCTCCCGTCTTTCCGTGTGTCAACGTTTTGGCAGAAGCCGTTACTTTTCTGATGCCAAATTTTTCAGTCCAACTTCCACAAAATGTTTTTGGAATGTGGATTCGACAGAAATGTAATGCGACTGTGCCTTTAGCTGGAATTTTGATTCATAGTTATCACAGATTCGTAGTTCATTCACAGCATCAGATTTCACCCACTGATATCACCACGGCAACACTAGATGCATGTATTACACACGGCTGAGCGTAGAGTTTATATTAGCCAGGTTTTAGCCAGTGTCACTTGAAATGTCCGGTGGAGAATATGGCAAATAAATAAATAGATTAATCCATTAATTTTTTTTATTTTTTTGAGTGAGGCTTTAAAGGTTAAAATGAATAAATGAAATTGTGTGTCACTGAAGAGGAAACATTTCGGTCAGGGATCATCCGTAACACACTTTAACGTCTAACCTCCAGCCTCACAGCGCCAGCCTGTTAGGAAAGTGCGGTTGTGCAATTTCATGCCCCAATCTTGAAATACGCAACGGTGACATCAGAATCAAGCGACTGCGTTGTTCCCTGTAACCCCCCAGGACGTGAGGACAGCGGGAAGAGGAAGGAGTGAGGCAACTCTCGCCGAGCGCGTTGTTACTGGTGTGTAAGGCGAGTGCAGCCTCTGGATGAGCCTCAGTGAGCTTTTAAGTGGTGTGTGTGTGTGCGTGTGTGTGTGTGTGTAAAGAGATTACACATTGTACTGACGTGCATAATAGAAAAGAACTTTACCTCTCTAGCCACTTCCACTGGAGGAACCTGTTGTAGTACATGCTGTCGAGGTAGTCTGCGAAGGGCGCCACGCTCAGGTAGTCGTGGATCAATCTGGGAACGACACGGTGAAGAGAAGCTGCAGGTCAAACACAGTCCACAACGCTGCTGCAAACACCAACCTACAGCTTTTGCTACACAGTGGAAATTACAGCATTAAAGGTCCCTTATTTTACATTATTTTCTTTCACATTTTTATATATTTTTTTGTTTTATTTTGAAGTGTTGCTCCATAAGAAGATATAAAAACCGTCTCAGTGTAGTTTTACATCTCCTCTCTCAGGCTTCTCTCTGGAGCTGTAGTCAGAACAGGTCGGTGATTAATCATTACAGCTTCTCCTGTCTGAGGATTTGCTGCTTTTCTCTTGTTTTATTTATTGTACAGTGAATATCTTTTGGTCCTGGGCTGTTGTCATGTCTGACATTTGACTGACTTCACAACAAACTTTCTTCTTTTTGAGCTGCACTTTAAATTTCACTGATCAGCTCTGAGTTAGGATCTTTGGTAGAAAAAGAAATTGATATGTAAATGTTTCTACATGATGAAAACAGATAACACATAACCGAGCGGACAGAGGTCTGTGGTCAGTCAGGTGTGCAGCAGCCGTTTCTAGAAAGATTCATTTCACCAAATGAAATCAAGCATGTGGATTAAACCCAAATGTAATAATCATCTGAGAGAGGAGCTCCACTGCCTTTAGGAATCAACTCACTGCAGTGAACGAACACAGGAAGGATTTACTCATGTTTTTTAGACCACGCACGAATAAAAACATCTTGATCAAGAGTTGAACTTGATTTCATGGGAATTGTAGATAAAAAGAAATCTGCAGAAGGCCACCGGACGTATCTTTCAGCCTTTTATCAGACAGATAAAGACAGAGTTCAGGGTTTGTGGTGTTAATACTTGACACTAGTAAATTACTCACGTCTTGTACTTGATGCGGCTTGAAAAACAAACTGGCCTCTGTGCTGCCTCACGCCTACGCAACAAGCACCAACAGAGCCATTAGAGGATGTTACTCAATGAGTGTTTTTTTTTTTTAATGGGATGGACACACACACTCTTCCTCATCAGAAACAAATGAACAATATTTTTATTAGAATATTTTCCATCCTGCGTTTGTTTATCTCCCTTTTGTCTTTATTTCCTTTTTTTTTTTTTTTTCCGTACTCATATCAATCCTGACAGTTATTCAAATATCCTCCTGACTGTTAGAGGACCAGTGTTTTGTTCTGAATCACCATTTTATTTTCTGACCCCGATAAAACAACAGATACGGTCAGAAACTGCAGCGCGCTCTCTGCTGTGATGAACCGAACTTCCTCATTTGCTACCTCATTGCGAACAACTGGAGAATATTTTCAGATACAAACCCAAAGACCTGAAGCTACAGACCTGAAGCTGCAGACCTGAAGCTACAGAGCTTCTCTGCTGGTTTCTGTGCGTTTTGTGCAAATGTAAATACAAGCGTGCACAAAGGCAGTGAGTGAAACACATTACAGAGGAATTTAATCCACTTTTTGAGTCGGTCCTTTATAGCTACAGTCATTTTATTGTGTTGTGATCACACTTCATCACTGAAACAGCAGCTGTTTTTACTTTACGTAGCTAAAAGTACAAACACAACAATGTTAAAATCTTCTATTAAAAGTAAAAGTGAAGTACTATCAGTAAAATATACGCTCTCTCTACTCTTTCTCTTTTTGTTATGAAATATTTGATCATTTGACCTCGTCGCGCCTCAAACAATAAACGGCATGAAAAACTTTCTTTGGAAACCGTTGGTCTAATCTTTTAACAATGCAGTGCATTTTATGAACTTACCACATGTTCAAATGTAAAACAGTGATACGAAGAGGAACTGAATCCATCAGATAAATGTGGTGAAGTAAAAATTTCAGTCTTTTATTTAGTGGAGTAGAAGTATGAAGTGGCAGAAAAAGAAAACAGGATCTGAAAAGTGAACAGAACTAGTTACTGATATAACTACAGTTCTATGAAATTCAGGATGCTTAGCTTGATGGATTAGCTTAGCATTAACACGTCTGGTATAGAAGACAGAGGGAATGTCAAACAATACATTTTGAATTGTGTTTGTGTTTATTGATTATGTGTGAGGGCATGTTAGGACACGATTCCCATGATCCCGTAGCTCGTGCTAATACGTAGCTTAATCTGTACATAATTAATTTCCACAGAGTAAAACAATTAATAGAGCGATTAAGTGTGTAATCAATGAAATGATATGGTCTATCTTATTTATCTCATTATCCATCTAATCAAGAATAAACATGTGTTTGGTTTGAAGAGATAACAACTCCTGGTGGTTGCAGTTAATTACTGTGTGAATTCTTGAGTTATGGTCAGAGTAACCTTTGACCTTCGACCACCAGAATCTAATCAGTTCATCCTCGAGTCCAAGTGGACGTTTGTGTCAGATGTAATGAAATTCCTGACGTATCGCACTCACGTGTACATGATGTCACCGTGGCCTTGACCTTTAACCTTTCACTACCAAAATAAAATCAGCTCATGTTTGAGTCCAAGTGCACGCTTGGAGCAAATTTTAAGAAATTCCCTCCAGGTGTTCTGGAGATATCACGTTCGCGAGAACGGGACGGACGACCCGAAGAACATCACGCCTGCGGCCGCGACTATTGCTGACGTGGAGGCATAAAAAAAAAAAACTCCTGGAAATTCACTGACTTTAACACCAGAGACGGCGACTCGTGACTTCACTTGGACTTGAGCCTTGTGACTTGAAAGACTTGAGACTCTGCCAAACCCCGAGCGGCAGACAGAGCCGACATTCAGGTCAGCGCGGGCCCTGTGCGGGGGCCAGCAGCACTTGTTTTGATGTGTGTTTCAGAGCATGATTGTAGCAGCACCGCAGGATTCCTTCTAAAGTGTCCCGAGAACAGAAACCTCACAGAGACAGAGAGACGAGGGCTGGGAACACTGACACCCTTTCTATAAAGAGATGATTTATTTCATGGCGGATGAATCAAATCCTGTATGTGTTCACCATCTGATATGTTACGGTTTAAATTCAGCGGAACTTGCTTTGGTGCTAACATTTCATATCGTGTAATTTACTGCGATCTGACCGACTTTGAGCGTTAACAGGTGAGACTTTTTTTTGTACTAATTTTCAATTTCTCACATATATTGAAATAGGCCTTTAAAGCTTGTGAAAAAGTGGAAACTGTCTCCGACATATGAACGAACAAAAAATTAAAAAAAAAGAGTAAGATGCCAAGACTCTCCCAGCAGAACCCCCCCAACCAAACTGTGTTAAAGAAAATCACTTTACTTTATCATTTTGATTTTATAATGTGTTCAAATAAATTTAAATAAAATTCATAATTATAATTTACAAAATTTATAATTTTAGGGTAAAATTTAGGGTTAGTTAATTTATAATTTTATAATTTATACATTTTATGATTATTTTTATTATACATTTAATTACATAATCTGTGTTTAAATTAAATGTATAATTTTAAAAATTTTTTAATATAATTTCATTTTTATTTTATTTTAATGTTTTCTGATGAATGACCTCTGTGTATAATAATGTGCTATACAAATAAATTTGCCTCGCCTTAATTAGATTATTTTAGTCTAAAAACATTAGAAATCTAAAAACCCAAATTTCCATAAATGTGACATGGTGATCAAACAACATCAGAGTTTTACAATGTGAAAGGCTCTTAAAAAATAATGGACCAGTAAATAAACCAGCACAGATGGGACACTGCGATCTTACTTGGTACAGTCCTTGAAGAGCTCTTTGCAGGCCTCCTGCTGCAGCCTCTCGGTGCACTGAGCCATCATGACGTCCTCCACCTCAGGCACGTGGTCCTCCGACTGTATCAAAAACACATGAAGCCCAGGTAAACAGCGTGACTCAACTGTGACAGTAAACTCACAGAGGAAAGCCGGATGAACTGGGTTTTAGGAAAGTGATTATCCTCTGTAGACTTCTGCATGTTCAGACCTGCACACACACACACACACACACGCAGAAACAAGGTTTGAGGTAGAGACCGAATTATCAGGAAAAACAAAAATGTCAACCTGTAGATATGAAGCTGCAATCTGGCACTTTTACATCATAATGATAACTGATGGGGTTTTATCTCTTTTTTTATCCTGACAGGATCATTCCAGTGGTTTCACATCAGTGGATTACATTTCTAATTTCCCATCAGCTTTCCTGGCGAGGTGGTAATGAGCCAGTCAGGAGAGTTTTCTCTCCTGAGTGCTGCATTCACTGACACTCTGACAGAACCAATCTGCTGTAACGTGCTGTACAGTTAAACTCATGTCAGAAAATAAAATTGAGGTAATCCAAAGTTTGATTTGATTTTGGATTTTAAATTGTACAGTTTATCATCTCTATATTTATTTTTTAGTTCATTATTTTTGTCATTTTTTTGGGGGAGAAAATATATTTTGTCTTTACTTTTGCTTGAATTTTACAACTGAACAAACTGTCTAATAAAGTGCTTTGAAATAAAAACAGGTGTCAAATTAAAGCAGATTTTTATGCTACTTCTTTCATTGACATATACTTTTCAGATGCTTATGTAAGAAAATAAAGGGTTTTTTTTACAGTGTAGTTCTGCACAAAAGGTTGACAAGAATCTAAAAGTGAGTGGTGTGATTTGGTGAATAGTCTCCGGTGATTTAAAGTGGTGGTTGAATGACTAAAAGATCCTTAGAAACTGCATTAGGGAAAGCGGATAAGCACATCTGCTGCTCACTCTGGACTCCCTCCTATCTGTGAAGTGATGACCTGCAACACTCTGACATCACTCTGACATCACTCTGACATCACATGAGCAGCATTTTCTCTGCAGGGAAACAGAAAGTGACAGAAAAGCAGAAGCCACCTTTGGATCGAAGTACTTGTCGACAAGTTCCTGACCGCTCTCCTTCCTCCTCTCGTCCGGAGTCACCTCGTACTCCGCCTGCAGACACACGAACACATGAAGGACACGATGAGCTGTCAGCTGCTGCAGGAGCTCCGTCTTAATGAACCAATGAGTTACCAGAAACAGGAAGTTTCAGAAACACCTGTGGATGCAGTTTTCTGCAGGTTGAATGTGTAAACGACATAATCACAAAAAAAATTGATAATTAATAAATACACAACATACACATTTCTGTCTACAGATTTATATTTTAGTATAATGTAGTATAATAACTGCAATTTTTTTTATATTAGACACCTTGGGACTGACGTTAAACTGCTGTTTGCTGTTTGCTGTTGCGTAGCCGGTGACTGCAGCGTGGGCTCCTAATGGACACACTGAACAGTGAGAACGATAAATGTACTAAAGATATCGACCCAAAGCAGAGATGAATCGATTAGTCAATCAAAAGAAAAATTAACTAGTAATTATTTTGATAACTGATTAATCGTTTGTCATTTTCAATTCGATCAAAATCTAATCGGTTCATCCTTGAGTCCAAGTGAATGTTTTATATATATACAGATTATACTGACACCTAATTTAAAGTGTTCAATATTAAATAAATATAAATGTATAAATAAGAAATTGTATTGTAATTTGTATTTCATCCTGTCAGTTTTTATTTCAAATTTACCTTTTTTCCAAATTCTTGTTTTATTTCATCACAGTTTCATTTTTATAAAAACCACTTTCCATCAAGCAAACAGGGCAGAGCCATGAGTCGTGTGATTGGTCTGAATAAGCCGACAGCCAATCACAAACTGACTTGGTTCATCACATCACGTCAAATTCATCACACTTACAAAACAAAAACTTCCATGCCTCGTTAGTTTTTAATTAGCTCATTTAGATCGCTTGGCGTTTTGTACAATGATGAAACAATCTGATTAAATCATGGTGATGATATGATGACTGCACTCAGTCAATAATAACTGTAATACTGAATTACTGCCATGTGTGTGTGTGTGTGTGTGTGTGTGTGTGTCCACTGATGACCTCTCTGCCCTCGACTTCAGAAAACACAATTTAAGATTTAATTGAGTAGTTTTCTGAGGCCTGCTCCACACCCAGCAGAACATGAACTGACTGCAGCGACTCCTCCTCACATCACGCAGCCCTCTGAATGACTTGCAGTAAACCGAGCCTGACTGGAAAACTCCAAAGTGCTTCCTCTCCCCCTCTCGCAAGCCAGAGCCTGTAAACTAATGCTAAGTGACAGCGGAGACGGTTCAAATCTCATTTTCCCCTCTCCATCTCGTCCTCTCGCAGAGCTCTCAGAGAAAGAGACGGGAAGTGGTTGCGGGGTAAAAGAGAACATAATTGCCTCGTGTGCGAGTCGTATCCGCTGGACGACTGAAAGCTGAAAAGCAGTTTGGCTGAGCTGGTCAGTCAGTGTGGAGCCTCGCCGCCGTCACGAGGATGAGCGGAGAGGTGGACGAGGTCTTCGCCGCCCGCTCCACTTGCACTCATCAGATTCGACCGCAAGGAATTACTGGTCCACTCAAAGACACGTACATGACAAACGAGAGACAGGAAGTACAAGATACTGTCTGCAGTGCTGCAGTTCAAGTGGAAGTCAGAGTTCGAGAAGAGTCAGAGTTCAGTCCAGATCGAGTCTCGAGTCTCCGGTGTTCGAGTGTCGCCAAAGAAGAGTCAGGGTCCGAGTCGTCAAGGTCGAGTCTGAGTCGAGCACTAACTTTCTCAGAGGAAAGACTTTTGTAGAAGAGGTAAGCTTTGGTCGAGGGAACCAGGTGGATGCTAACATCGCCCCTGCAGAAGTGTACGAGGAGCAGGACTGATGAGTAACCTGACGACTCCCTCAGGAAGAACACAGAGTGTTAACCAACCAGTGCGATGAGGGAAGAGGTCTGTGCTACAGACAGACCAGAAACAGGAAGTGGAGTGTGTGAGCGATTGTGAAGACTGAAGGAGGAAACCGCGGTATCATTTATCTACTGTGCACCCGGAAAAAAAAAAAAAAAAAAAAAAAAAGAAGAACAACAGAATTAATGAGGGCGCACACACCACACACACACACACACACACACACACACACACACACACACACACACACACACACACACACACACACACACACACACACGCACACACGCACACACACACTGGGAATAAAGCAACAGTGTGACTGAAACATTCCTCAAGTGAGTAGAGCGAGAAGTGAAGTGAAACGTTCACTGTCACGGATGAGGTCAGGAGAAAGTGTGTGTGTGTGTGTGTGTGTGTGTGTGTGTGTGTGTGTGTGTTGTTATAAAACCTGGGAGGTAGAGGAGAGTGACACACTGACGTAGTTTGCTCTCCTTTGCTCCCAGAAGTCAAGAGTTCCTGTATTTCATTAAACAGATATTAAACTCTACTTCCTCCTCTTCCTCCTCCTCTTCCTCCTCCTTTACAAACTTCAAGTGTTTCAGAATAATTAAACTTCCTGCATCCGAGGCTCAACATGAGAAGCAGCTCCACAGTTCTGCCTTCTCACCGGTGATTAAAGACATTTCGTTAGTTAAGGAGGTCGCGGTGGTTGGTTAACCCCACATGTGACTTTGACAGTGCACCAGTTCACATCCTGTCCCCAACCAACACCCAACGCTGGTTTCTTTTCAGCATGACAGCAGGTGTCTCTTACTGTAGTTGTGCTGTAGTTGTTCTACTTACAGTTTCACCAGCCCACATGACGTTTCATGACTTCTTTAAATTATAAACGATACGTTTCTGTGAGAGAAAAATGCTGCTGCAGTGGAACGTTTGACAAATAACAAATCCTCTCAGAAACAATATGTCAGAACGTCTCACACACACACACACTTCACTCCTTTTGTTTTTCTGCTTATTTTTTCACACATACACACACACACACACACACACACACACACACACACACACACACACTCTCCGTTTCTTCTTACCACAGCATCCAGGAACTTGACGCAGCGTCTCAGTTCAGGTCGCGTCTCACAGAACTGTCTGAACAGTAACCGTCCGATGGGCTGCCGCTCACACAGGCTGCTGTAGTCCTTCTCTGCAGAGACAGAGACACAGAGACGGGGCTCGGTTTGTCAGACTGTAACACTCGAGTCATGTTTCCATTAAAAAGTTTGCTCAAGTGTCAGAGCGTCTTCTCCCATCAGCAGCGTTTCCCATGGAGATTTATATACAACTTAAATAAAGAGGACGCCATGAACATCGGAGGAAATCATTACATTTGTCTGAAATATAACATTACGTTTATTAAGCTTCAGGGAAAATTAGCAGTGGTGCTGCATCAGACTGCAAAGGATGCAATGAATGAATGAATGAATGAATGACTGAATGAAGCTCTACCAAAGTTCACATCAGAGTAATAATTTACCCAACAGCCAGTTTAGTCAAGTTTACTTTGTATTGACCATCTGGACTTTTATTAATGACTATGATCAAACATGATTAGATGCAGAATTAGTGGCTGCAGAACCCGACATCAAACCTTCCTCACATTATTTCAGATTTTCCACTTTATTTATTTATTTTTCTTTTTACGTGCAACACTGAAAATGTTCCTAAAAAAACAATTAACTGGAACGATAACTTTATATCAACAGGTAAGATTATCAGAGTGTTTCAGATCAAACTTTAAGTGACACCAGGAGCACAACCTGAACTTTAGAGACACCTTGACTTCACGTCTTTGTATTTCTCGCATTTCATCCACTCGGTTCGTGCTGTACATCTCCAGTTGTCTTGAAATGATCTTGTTGTTTTCTTTCTCCCTGAACACTGTTCACAAACACTTTGGACTCAGCTGTGTTCTTCTGTTTAAAGATCTGTGTCAGTAAAGTTAAGTTGAGAATCCTGCAGCTGATTCCAGCTCCCTCTGGATCCTCGTGTTTATCACAGCTCTGACATTGTTTTGTTTTGCTTTGTGTCTGTTGTGTAATTTTCCATGTTGCAATGTGATTTGTTTGACCAATCAGGATGCAGATGAAAGTACCTGCGACATGGACACATTATCTGATATTTCTCCCTAAACGACAGATAAAAGCAGAACCTGTGACAATGGCTTCATGTTAAATCATGTCTAAACACTGTAAGTTCCTGTGGTGGGAAACACCGGCATCACACATGAGTCATTATCTGACACAGTTTTATCAGCCTTTAAAAAGTCTCTGAGCATCAGGCCCAGACTCTAACAGTCTAATGAGTCAGCTGGAAACAAGCTGAGAGGAAAGGAAGGAAGGAAGGAAGGAAGGAAGGAAAGAAGGAAACCCTTTTCCAGTGCAACAGGGAACGATACGTCAAATCAAATATCAGCTGCTGCTGTTAACACCCACTCTAATGTTTGCATAAATCTGTAGGGACATTTTCAATAAGGACACTGATATTTATCGCTGGTCACACTGTAAAAAGAAGCCAATGACGAGACGCTGATGGTTCTAGTTGTAAGATATGAATCTACTCATGTTTTGCAAGTTTGAGAATGTTTATGTCTACCAGTGATGCACCGATTGGCATGTAATTTAATTATAATAATAATAATAATAATAATTATTGTTTTCCACAATTTAGAGACCCACACCCGATCGTACGTTACCATTAATTTTAGTCGGCTGTTTTTTATTAAACAAACATTGATTTAAAGTAAATAAAAATGGCAAAAGATATCTCCACAGCCTGAATGCAGCCTGACATTTAAATTCTGAGTGTCTCTGCAACTTCCTGAACACAAACAGTTTTAAAAGCTCATAATAACGTTTGGCCGCTGCCCAAAATAAATAATTAATCATGACGAGTTCAGCAGTCCCAACACAGAGTCTAATTCGTGCCTGATGAAAAATGAGGCTGAGAATATGTTCACATTTCAGCGAAGGTAAATAACATTTTCCTCATACATTATATATTATTTCAGCCACCTGCAACCCATCAGCTGTTTATCAATATGTTGGTTTTTATGACCTGGCTGATCCGCCGGATTCTCCGCAGCGCCCTCGGATACAACATCGCTAACGTCTACCTTAAAACTGGCCGACATTTGGTTGAAAGTAGAACGTTTCTTTTTTTGTTTAGATTTGTAGGTCAGTGATTCCCAAAGTGGAGGCTACGGCACCCTGGGGTGCCTTCAGGACGAACTAAGGGTACGGTAAGACTCATTTATTTCTTTTCCTTGTAAAACATGCAGGTGCACAGGAATCACAAAGAGCATGGACATATTTGAGTTGTGTTATAAAGATGATATAAAAGAAATGAAATGATCATGTGGAGCTATCGTGTGCATCGCACAGGTTGTGAGTTGGTGCTGGTTGTTGTGCGTCGCAGTGGTTGTGTTACGTATTGAGAGTCTTATTTAGAGGTACTGTTTAAAAGCCTGTGTGAAAAATAATATTACACTTTTAGATGTAAGTGTTGGGTTTCAGTTCAGTTCAACAGCTAACGGTACGACTGTTAAAACCAAGGGCCTCGGTTGGACTCGGTCTCCAACAGCTACGAAGGGCAACACCTTCGCCGTCCAACGCGTCCTCCGAAGGATGAAGCTGAATTGGGACACAGCTTAAATCCTTCAACAATTCATCATTTTTTTAAGCATAAACGACAAACTTATTCTGCTACCAGCTTCTCCCGTGTGAATATTCTCTGGTTTTCTTACAGTTTACTGAAGGTCTTTGAGTTCTGGACGATTGGTCGGACAAAGAAAGACATTTACAGTCGTCATCTTGACCATTTTTCACCGGTTGCCGTGAACACAACAGTGAATCAAGAAATGAAAAAGGTAGATTAATCTAAAATAATCCTTTGGTGCAGCCATAACTATCTCTGTCACAGTAAACAGAAATGCAGGAAGCAACTGACTTGATGGCTGAGATCCAAAATAAAAAGTTTGGTTACACAAAGTTTTGTTTGAACAGATAATATTACATCAGATCCCACACAGATCCCAGTCATTTTAATGCTGTGACACAACAGTTATATATCATCTAGACATGCAAAAACCAAAACCATAAAGTTCTGTTTGTGAAGGTTTTTGGGTGTACAGTGAAATGACAGTTGAGTTCACCTGTGCTTCAGCATGTAAAAGCAACAGCAAGGGAACGTGGATTTGCATCTGTGACTCATGTGGATGCAAAGCAGCTCAGGAAGTTCACGAACAAACAAATGTGATTCGGGGTGGAACGGCGAGGTCAGAGCGATTGTTCTGAGAGGACGAGGAAGAAAAGAGCGAAACCACCTGCAGAACATTTCAATCAGACCAGTGTGACTCCAGTCAAACACATTTTTATCAGAATCACATACAATAGAGAATCTCAGGGGGTTTTACAGTGATTCAAGACACAACAGCAGGAGTGATAATCACATCCCTGTGTTACATGCTGCGGAAAGGAAAAACAACAGACACGGTGGAGTTTTTAAAAAACCTAAAAAGGATATTTAAAGATATTCAAAGTTCAGTGTTTCACACCAGAACACACTGCATGTGTTCAAAGTTCATTTCCTTTCTCAGGAAACATTTGCAAACCTGATTCTCTGAATTCTTTCAAAACAGTTTGACAGTTGTTTTCATGCAACGATGCTGCGACGTCTCCTCTCAAATCAAGTCAATTATCGAGATAATATATGATATATATATATAATATAGAGCAGATTTAAAACAACAAACACTGACCAAAAAATAAAAATAAAAATCAGTGATTTCAGATAAAATAAGAACAAGAGCAAACAACAAATTTAAAAAAACAGGATCTTCAATGACAACCATGTCTTCTAGAAATCCTACTACAACTAAACTGTTTTTACAATTATGCTGTCATGGTCAGTGAGCCAATCAGAAGAGAGGAGGCTCTGAGCCTCTCTTCTGATTGGCTGACTGTTTTCTGAGTGATCCAATAAAAATAAAGCAGATTTCAGGTAAAAACACTCAGAGAAACCAAATCCTGCAAGGTTTGGATGGTGGGTCCAGGTGGGCGGGACTTGGTGATGGCTTTGTTGTGACATCACAAAGTTCCAGAAGTCCTGACGGCTGGTTTTAAGGCTCAGTTTCTGAATACAGGCTGTGTGCATTTCTCTGTGGACTGAGGCTTTGATGCTTTCACAGTATTAATATAGAAGCTAGAGCTGATCTATAATCACACTACACATGGACACAGACCTTTAGACTATATGGACCTTTAATTGAAAATCAAAAAATGAAGGAGCAGAAGAGAGAGAGAGATTCTACTCTATATACCTAACTCCAAAAATACTGCATGCTGAATTTCCCATAATGCAACCAGCAGCATCTTTTGGTCAGACACTCCCTGCCTGGCACAGTAAATAATGGGTGGAGTGTCCCTTTAATTGCTTCAGGATGAATGGCGCTCGTGTCTTATCGCTGTGCTGAGCCATTTCCTATCGATGACACAGTGACTGATAGTAACTGATGCCTCCTTCTGTCAGGTTCTGCTCTGGTTTCTGCCACTGTGAGTTGTTTCTGCTCTACTTATCTCTCCGCGGCTGCGTCCTCTTTGTTCTCCGCTCTGCTACACTAATGATCACGTCTCTCCCCAACATTGCTTTCATGCGCGTCTGCTGCAGAGCAGGACGGCAAAAACCACAAGGAAGAAATGCATGGAGGAAAAAGAGAGGAGTGGGACATCTGAGAGGCGACAATAGACAAAAATCACCAGGTTGACTTTAAGGCACTTTAATCAAGAGTGCATAGCCCCTGTTAATAGAAATTCCTGAAACATTATTCTCAGAAAAGAAACACCAAAAAATTAGCTTCATTACAGTTCATGAAGCCACTTGTTGGATCCCACACCAGCTGCTCATGCGTGAAATGCAACATCCCCCAGTTCTGGGAACTTTTCATCATCTGGTCGTGGATCAGTGGACTTTGTCAATAGACTGTACAGAACAGCCTGTACATCATCACACAGAAAACTTACACAAACAGGCCTCTGTCAGGCCTCCTGCTGGCTCCAGGTCCCCACAGTGACATTATGATACCACAGGTTTGAAATTGGACAAAGGTCTCGGTCTCGGTGTGAAAGTTTTCGATCCTGTACGCTAACC